TCGAGATTACATGCTTTCAAATCTGTCTTTATGACGCAACTATTTAGTGGTCCTTGTGAAGTGTTCGAGATTACATTCTTTCAAATCTGTCTTTATGACGCAACTATTTAGTGGTCCTTGTGAAGTGTTCGAGATTACATTCTTTCAAATCTGTCTTTATGACGCAGCTATTTAGTGGTCCTTGTGAAGTGTTCGAGATTACATGCTTTCAAATCTGTCTTTATGACGCAACTATTTAGTGGTCCTTGTGAAGTGTTCGAGATTACATTCTTTCAAATCTGTCTTTATGACGCAACTATTTAGTGGTCCTTGTGAAGTGTTCGAGATTACATTCTTTCAAATCTGTCTTTTAAATTGATTGAAATCGTCACAAGTAGCGACTTGACATTCTCTCATCGTCCATTTTCGAACGAAGTTATGACTTTATAGTTCGATTGACTCAGGGCCAACAAAGGGTCATTCTAAAACCAGGGCCGGCTCTTTCGTTCGATGACGTCCCGGGCAAGCTTATCTTTAGCGCCCCTTTTAAGTATAATCATAAAATTTGCGCAAGGAAAACTGGAAAATGTGTGCATTCGTCGGAGCTAAATGTAAATTATGTGCCCAACATGGCTTCAAGTTTTCATTCGGAGTATTATCAAATCTTTGCATGGTAATAATTTTTTCCCACGACCTGATGTTTGATCAATCTTAATACTGACCATAACATATTGACTGATAGATTTTTAGTCTAAAATGTTTTATAACTGAAGTTATTAATAAAAAAGAAGTTGAAAAAAATATTCATCATGCTCTCCATATAATTGTTTGCAATTTATTCATGTATAAGACACTCCACTGTAAAGCCGTGCTCCGTCCCATAGACACTCCACTGTAAAGCCGTGTTCCGTCCCATAGACACTCTACTGTAAAGCCGTGCTCCGTCCCATAGACACTCCACTGTGAAGCCGTGCTCCCTCCCATAGACACTCCACTGTGCAGCCGTGCTCCGTCCCATAGACACTCCACTGTGAAGCCGTGCTCCGTCCCATAGACACTACACTGTGAAGCCGTGATCCGTCCCATAGACACTCAACTGTGAAGCCGTGCTCCGTCCCATAAACACTCCACTGTGAAGCCATGCTCCGTCCCAAAGACACTCCACTGTGAAGCCGTGCTCCTTCCCATAGACACTCCACTGTAAAGCCGTGCTCCGTCCCATAGACACTCCACTGTAAAGCCGTGTTCCGTCCCAAAGACACTCCACTGTGAAGCCGTGCTCCGTCCCATAGACACTACATTGAAAAGCCGTACTCTGCCCCATAGACACTCCACTGAAAAGCCGTGTTCCATCCCATAGACACTCTACATAAAAGACGTGTTCCCTCCCATAGACACTCCACAGAAAAGCCGTGCTCCGTCCCATAGACATTAGTCCATTGTAAAGCCTTGTTCCGTTCCATAGACACTCCACTATATAAAGCCGTGTTCCCTCCCATAGACACTCCACTGTAAAGCCGTGTTCCGTCCTATGCTACAAAAATATAAACGATATTGGTCCTAATACTTAAAATGGCGGGTTTACGGAAAGCCCAGGGTCAAGGATGATTGTTATTTGAACAAGGGAACTAGGCGCCATGTTTTAAATATAGGTGGAAGGAAGGGGCTTGGTTGCCCCTTCACCACCCCCCCCCAAGACACATGATATCTTAGGACAACCTTTATTTTTGATATAAACATGTATAGATAAGACAAATCGCTTGAAACAAATCGTATTGTCAAAAGTATTAAACTAATACATTTTAGTGTATAATTTTAATTCGACCATCCTTTCAAAAAACTTAAAATTCAAATGTACTCATCCAGCCTTGATTATTGAATTTCGATTAATCCATAGGCACGCCACTGTCCATAACACAATTTGACCTAACTGAGTCAGGGGATTGCCTGACTGTGGTTGATGACGAAGGTGGTGAACTCGTTCTGTCCTTTGGGAACTGCAGCAAATCCAGGCATTTCCTCTGTGACAAAGGTACTCGCTAGAACCTATGAAAGTTCTGTAGTTTAATACTGTAGAGACAAGACTATTTTTTTCACCTTTAGATTTTGAGTTCATTATTTAATGAAAGGGAAAGCAGGAATGTGTATGCAACTTGTTCTTTTTACACATTACAATTTCTTTAAATAAAATAAATCTCGCAAATTTTCATCACAACTTTGGTCTGTGTAAGAGTTTAAAATAAATTTTAAGTACCACATTTATTATTTCTTATGCTATAAATATCCTAATTGTAGAATGCAGAAATATGTCGTTCATGTTTCAAAATATTTGACCAAAATGCTGATTGGTGGAAGGCAATTTAATTTCTACTTGTAGGACCTCACACACTGAGTACCTGGCAGCCAGATGTGACACGGCACAATCAACCGACTCTCCCCACTACACAGCGGCCTGGCTACTGCATCAATTATCCAAATGTTACTTCACCAGGGACAAGGTCAACAATGGCAATATCAATGGTAAATACTTCAGAATCTACATTGGCTGAACGTGATACAATAAAACCAACGATAGTTCAAAGAGATACATCAGAGCCAACAATTGTTCAAAGAGATACATCAGAGCCAACAATTGTTCAAAGAGATACAACAGAGCCAACAATTGTTCAAAAAGATACAACAGAACCAACAATTGTTCAAAGAGATACAACAGAACCAACAATTGTTCAAAAAGATACAACAGAACCAACAATTGTTCAAAAAGATACAACAGAACCAACAATTGTTCAAAAAGATACAACAGAACCAACAATTGTTCAAAAAGATACAACAAAGCCAACAATTGTTCAAAAAGATACAACAGAACCAACTATTGTTCAAAAAGATACACCAGAGCCAACAATTGTTCAAAGAGATACATCAGAACCAACAATTGTTCAAAAAGATACAACAGAACCAACAATTGTTCAAAAAGATACAACAGAGCCAACAATTGTTCAAAAAGATACAACAGAACCAACAATTGTTCAAAAAGATACAACAGAACCAACAATTGTTCAAAAAGATACAACAGAACCAACAATTGTTCAAAAAGATACAACAGAGCCAACAATTGTTCAAAAAGATACAACAGAGCAAACAATTGTTCAAAAAGATACAACAGAGCTAACACTAATTCCAGAAACAAAACTAGTTTCCCTCACTGGCCCCACAACGGTTAGTTTAGCAAAACCCGATCTCCATGAGACCAGTTCTAAGATTCCTCTGTTCACAGTCAATATTTCAGCTGATAAACTAACCAGTCCTAACCCAACCGATAAACTAACCAGTCCTAACCCAACCGATAAACTGACCCGTCCCAACCCAACTGCTAAACTGACCAGCCCTAGACATAGTCCTAACACAAACGATAAACTGACCAGCCCTAGCCCCACCACACAGTTGCAGGGGTCATCAAACTGCCAGTCGTCAGCATGCAGCCACGGAGAAGTGCACGGCGAGACGTTCTTACCCGTCTACCTGTCTATCGGTATCATAATCCCTCTATCCACTGTTGCTGTAACTGTGGCTGTCCTGTGCCACAGACGCAGATCCTTCATGTTGAATGATGTGTCAGATAAACCCCACCAGTCACAGAAGAATATTGCTATTAGCAACAGTTTAGTTAACTTGTACGTGACTTGAGGTAGACGTTATTCATCTAATTTTTCATAAGGTAAAGGAAAAAAGTTTTTGTATTAAGTCCAGTTGGATTGCTGAGAAAATGAACACATCTACCATCATATTAATATTGGTCTATTGATGATAAAATTGTAACACGCTGCCTTGGAATGTGGACCCATTCATTTTTTATTTATTTTTTATTTTTTTTGTACTTTGAGACACACAAAAAAACACATTTGTCATCAACTTATTTGTTCTTTCACTGAATTATGTGCATGAAATCGATTGTGTTGTCATGGGAGGTCTGAGAACCCTTTTGGGAGGGGTCTCAATAAATAGGATTAATAAAGGTTGCCTACCAGGTGATCAATTATTTTGATCCTATAATGGAGCAATTATCGGGTTGGTTCTAAACAAACAACAATAAGGATTGACAAATATATTTCTTAAATCCAATGTAACAATATATTAATGGAAAACTTTGGTTCGAACTTTACAAAATCGATCACCTTTCCCACAAGACACCATAAGTGCTTTTAATTCAACTACAACACACCTGCTAGTACTTCTTGTCAAGGTCAGTGGTTCCCAAACTTTTTAAATAGGTAGCCTTGCCTACAAGACAATACTAACTAGTGTTCGTTTAGCTAAGCCCCAACACACTTGTAGAGGTCTTCTTGTCTAAGCCAGTGGCTCACTTATTTGTTTAAAAAGGTACCCTTGCCTATCAAACAAACCCCGATATTAGATCTTTTACAATGTAGCCACAGAATGACACTTGACGGGTTCTTCTCATCCCAACCAACAACACATGAGAATTACAAGAACACTTTGTAGTGTTTTCTTCATTACTTTTATTGCCTTGGAAACAAAGTTTCATTGCCAAAAGGAAAAAAGTCCATTTTCATGGAATGTTTTAAATATTTTCTGAGCACTTATTTGTCATTAGAGGCAAACAATATATTGTAATTTTGTAATGTAATTTAAAATATTATTATATTGCAGTTGTATGAATAAAAATCTATACATTTGAAATAAGTCTAAAGGATAAGAAATTAATTGCTTACAGTTACTGTTAAAAGTTTGCATGGCTTGGATGTGTTCAAGTTAATTACTAGTTCTATAAATCAGGAACATGACAGACATTCTTCCAGGGCAGTGGTTCTCAACAGTCCTAATGCTGTGACCCTATAATACAGTTCCTGATGTTGTGGTGACCCCCCAACCATAAAATTATTTTCCCTGCTACTTCATTTATGTGTTTACCGAGGGGTCATTCAACCTCCTAAAGGGGTCGCAACCCACAGGTTGAGAACCACTGTTCTAGGATTAAGGGGGGGGGGGGGAGGGGAAAAAAACAAGAGATAGGCAATGTTTATTACATCTTTATTACAGTTGATTGTTTCTTGCCTAAGATTTCATTATGTCACATGTACTGTAAAAAAATGTCCAAAAAAATTCAATGGTGGAAATATAAAATGAATTTTAATTCTTTGAATCCCTATTACAAACTTTCTATTAACTTCATATGGGTTGATGTATGTGTATTTAGATACATACTTATTCGGAAATAAAAATGTAAATTTATTTATTTCTGGTTCAAGGAATGCTACACAACTAAAATTGGGTACACATAATAAGGGCTTTTAATCCACGGTTAGGGTTCTTGCTTTCAATTTTTAATGGAGGCCAAAATAAGTTGGTAACATAAAAATAGTGAAGCAGTGGGGGGAAGATAATTCTTCCATCTTTATTTCAGAAAAAGTTGGAAATTAAAAATATATGGTTTTTACATTTTTCTTGTTTCTACTTGGCCACTTAAGTGAGAGCTCAGGAAGGCAATCAAACTAAACATACCAAGGGACACTAAAAATAACATCTGTATAATTTCTTGACACAAAAATACCCTCCTCCTTTTCATCTTTTCCCAAGATGAAATTATGTAGAATGAGAGCAATTACTGCAGAGACCCCTAATAATTGTCATGAATACCTGAATTGCTTACTAAATATTCATTCATTCTCTTGCTTTAAGTTTAAGACTTTAAGCTTAGCACAAGGAGGTAAAACAAAGATTTCAACATTTGATGAAGTAATAGTAATGCCCCTTATGCCATGGATTGCTCAAACAGCTCCAAAACTCAGCACCATGTACAATTTCACCATGTACACCAACATTCACCGACTAAAGCCTGGTGCACACAATAATGACAATAAGTGTGTTTCTACATGTCCTGTCGGCTATCTCAAACAGTCCTAAGTAATACTGTGGTGGACTTCATAAATGTCATTGTTACAACCAAAATCAATTCTTTCTATTTGTCAAGGCTTCAGTAGACTGAAACAAACAAAATTACCACTCAAACTCCAAATCTATGACTGAGACTCATGATCAGTCAATGACTCAGACTCATGAAACATCTATGACAGACTCATGATAAATCTATGACTCTGAAATTGATGCATGTATCATACAAGTAAGGTTAAAGAAAGAGACAAGTTCTAAAGGCTTATGACATCAAGCTTATTGATCAAACTTAACAGTAGTCGCCAATATCTAAATATGCTTGGATCGTTCTTAAAAAGGTGATGGATGCTATGCACAGTGTTTTAAAAGTGTGGACTTTTTATAACTATAAATGATATCATCTCAAATATTTTGACACTTTACAGAAAGTAATTCTGGAGTTTCATTTTATTTTAAACTAAGAGTAAATTGAGAATAACAAAGAATACATACAGAAACAATGTTACTCTTGGTTTAAAATTTGGATGGTTTAAATACTGCTGGCATTTGCCAATAATATCGTCCTGTCTTTTGATTCAAGCTTCAACACACCTTTTACTGTTTCATAGGCATTTGCCACAGGCCTTATACAGTATAATACAACCATCTCAAAGGTTCTTGAATAGAAATGATTTAGTCCCTTTAAGTATGACCTAGTTACACCACAAGTCCTCCAAAAACTACAGTTCCTGATTAAATGCAACAATTGAAGCCTTGGAATTCACAACTGATGAAAATATTAGACTCATTAAAAAAACATAATGAAGATGACAGGATCATTTGAGACAGGAAACACAAAGTCCATTAAATCAACATAGTCAAATATATTTATATAATAAAAAACTATCATGTTACACTTCCTTCCCTTAACACAATTCAATAGATTTACTGATGATAAATTAAACTGAACAAATTTCTATTCGTCAGTATTTTATTTTTTGACAATTTTTAACTGATTTCAGTTTTATAAGTTACACCACAACAATTTAAATTCTGACATGAAAGTATTGAAAGGTACATAAAACTACCAGAGTGCTGAGCCAGTGAAAAATGTCTATCAATGTCTTCAAAATTGACCAAAAACTTGTAAGATCCAGCTTAGAATCATTCATTTTATCAAACTGATGGCCAGAAATGACATGAATTTTTTTTTACAACCATTCTGACACAGTATGAAGACATGTTTATTTATTTGAACCAGATGGTGAAGAGGGACTTGTCGGTTCCCTGGAATCACTTTCTCCTTCTGCACCTGGAATAGATAAGTTGGTTTTTTTTCAAAATCAAGAATAATCGTTTTGGCACAACTAATAAACAATGCAATGTTTAAAAAATTATTAAGGGATGATTCATTATAATATACCAAAGGAGATAGTACAGAATATCAATGGGGATGGTACAATATACTAATGGTATGGTATAGTAAAATAAAGGGGGGGGGGGGGGAATAAGAGAAAAAAAGAACATTATGAAATAATTAGTAGAACCTGCTCTCAAGCACAAGGCAGGTCAGTATTTGACCAGTACATAAGTTGATTACTACAAGTTTAACAAGATATCCAACTAAGTGTTTTTTTAATGGGATATTAAATAGAGCAACCACTGCTGCAATGTTCACACAATAAACATTTGTCATTATAGGCTAATGAACTAAACTTTTTAAGCCATAGTGTAAAAGATAAAAGTATGATTATTACGGCTTTTATAAACGTCCACTTACTTGCTGTGCTAGGAAATGGGATTGGTATTCTTGAACTTGCAGGGAGGGGAATACCAGAGTGGGGCTCTTGTTGGTGAGGGTACTGGCCAGGGAACTGCTGCATCGGTGGGTGTGGATAGGGGCCTTGTTCATAGCCTGGGTGGCCTTCCTGGGTTAAAGGGCCTCCGAACTGACCCGGTGGCCCACCAGCAAGATGTGGGTAGGGAACTGGTTGGTTCATGAAACCACCAAAGTGACCATGTTGTGGTGGATTACTACCAGGAAACTGTTGAGTCGGTGTTTCTCCTTGGATCATACCCATTCCAGGATGGGGGTGGAAGCTCTCCGGTTGGGGTCCAAGAGGCTGATGGGGTGTGTTTTGAGGATATGGGCCATTTTGTGGTGGAGAGGGACCTATATTAGGGTACACAACAGATTGAGGCAGGCTCATGTGGCCTGACTGTGCAGGATGGGACTGAAGCTGTTGTTGGAGGATTGTTGAATGCTGGAGGACTTGATGCTCTGGTGTGGGAGTTCTGCTAGGGGCCAGGGCAGTGTGAGTTTGGCTAACAGATGATGTACTAGCTAAAACTTGGGGGGTGGGAGGCTGACTCAATGAGGACACAACTGTGTCAGAGAAGGTGGAGGACTGGCTCAGGGAGGGAACTGTGTCACAGCCGCCAGAGGGGGCTGAAGAGGCAGGGAATGTGGTGGCTGTGAAGGAAGCTGATGATGATGCTGGTAGGGAGAGAGCGGTGGAACTTGGCTGAGGTGTAGGTGAGCCATGTAAAACTTGAGTTGCTTGCACCTGAGGGGAAACAAAAATTTTGAATGGTAAACTTTTGAGAAAATGTAAGATTAATGAACAAGTTGCTGACAAAACAAAAATTAATGAAAAATAAATTATTGTGATTGCTTTTTAGGTTAAAAAAAATATGAACTAATGTTCATTTCTGGTAAAGAGAGAAGTTGAAAGTTCAATCAATTAGTTGTCATTGTTTTACTTGTTTATTAATAATTAATATACTCAAATAAATAACCTTAAAAAATACAAAATTTGAATGTTCCATAATTTTAAAATTTTTAATCTTGAAAAGCTGTTATGGCTACAAATTTTAGATAGTGATGATCGGGTTTTTATCTAAATACAAATTTAATAACCAATTATGTTACTTAACTCCTATTATGGAATGGAAAATTACTTAGTCACTTTAATGTGTCATAATTTAAATGGCCCACACATGGTCACAAGTTATATTTTTCTAAGTATATCTGATACAACATTAAAACAAATAACTTAACAAAGGAGTAGATTAGGGCAAATAACCATGAACATTTCAGCATTTAATGCAGGGCATCACTAGAGAGTGAAAAATATACTCTAAAAAGTGTAAATAGCACTAAACCATAAAAAGTCTCTATTAAAAGGCAGGAGAAAAGAAGTGAACACGTTTTTTTTTTACTGTATTTAAAACCAGATGTGAAAGTTAAGCTCAGGAAAAACAATCAAGTCTTTGTTGCATCCAATTATAGTAGGGCCATTTAAACATATTGGGGCCCTGTTAATAATTTTGTGTTATTAATTTTGTGCTTGAAGACCTCCAATTACATTTATCTTTTAGAGCTTCCAATGAACTTGACAAAGAAATCCACTAGATTAAAGTTAATTTTTTTTATTTCTAATATTTTAACACAAAATTATTTTCAGTGTAAAAAAAAAACCAACCTTGTTCAGTTCCCTCTATTATTGATAAACAATAGCAATCTATTCAGGTGTGCCATTCAATTAGTCTAAAACAATATTTAACTGAGTTTCCATGTGTTGCCATAAGGCAATACAGTTTTAAAATACATGTATATCCTGTGATTTTATGTGATGACTATGTTACATAGCGATCAAGCAGACAATAAAATAAAAAATAAACAATGAATTTTAATGCGTCAAAGGTCACTAGCGTGGTTCATTGTCCTGCTGTCAAATTGCCCATGTTAAATCCATAAAATTTTAATGACAATTTAAAGAGAAAATTGAAATTATTATAACTTGTATACTTATTTAAATTACTTTAAAAAATGTGTTAAATTGATTAATTAAAACTAAATTCTTCCTCAACACTAAAACAGTTGGAGTCTGAGTTAAATATAGGTGCAAGTTACTTTATGGTACCTTGCGTTGCTCAAGAATCAAGTGGTGGGTAAAATGATAAAGTAACACCTAAAAAATGAAGCATTTCCTCCATCAAGAAAATGGATGCCCAAAAATTTGTATACCATGAAAGCAAAGTATGAGTGAGATGCTAAAATAAAGCATTTAAAGAAATTGGAAGGTCAGCCATTGTGGAGAGTTCAAAGTGGGTTATGCAAGCTGAGACTAGGATGCATACCTTGATGTATCCAGAGGATTGCAGAACACTGACTAAACAACCAACAAACCCAGGCTGTTGCATCTTTCAAGCCAATGAGAGGCCAGACATCTAAGTCAGATAAAAAGCTGATAAGATGGCCCATGGCTTCTAATAGCTGGTCTTGTCATTTTAACATTTAATTACTGCTGACTTTTGAGATGTCTCCTTTTTTACTTCAAAACATTTCTTCTTCATTTTTTAACAAAATGTTACCACTAATTTATTGCACTGCCATTATAACAGCAATGCTTTATGATGTGAATACATTGAAAATCCAATTAAACACCCACCTGCGGACCTTGTGGAGGCATGGGTGACCCATGCATAGAGTAACTTGAGGTTTGGTTGACCGCTATGGTCAGTTCAGAAGTGTGTGCTGTGCCCAAGATACCAGCAATGGAGTGAGGAGCTTCAGAATGCTGCTGGGTGACAACTGGCTTGTTGTCCATCAGTTGCTGACTAGCCAACTGCCTGGCTCTGTATTCAGCTGCCCTGATTTGCTCCAAGTGGAACTGTTGTCTCTCTTGTAAGAGTTGTTGACGTTGACATTCAAGCTGAAGTGTAACAAAGATATTGTCATTAAATTACATCTCCATCGACTTAATTTTTACAGGAAATGAGCGAAACAAATATAGGAAAACTTGGAGAAAAAATAGGGACGCAACAAAACAAAAAATGGGACAGCAAGAAACCTTCTTCAGCGAACAAACAACTGTAGAAACAATATAAAATTAAAATAAACACTTAGCTGAAATGTAGTGTCTGAGAGGGGAGAAAGAGGATATTAACAGAACATATAATTTGAGAGATTGAATACAGACAAAATGGAATGACAGAGAGGAAAAGTCCAGCTCTCTTTTTACCTAACCTGATGGCAGTCTCTCGCCTTTATTACCATTTATTTCTACACAATATTTAACTTTGATTCACTAGTGAAAAAATTTTTACTAGTTACATCAAACATTACTTTCATTATTGGAGAAACAAATAATGGTTAGATACCTATGACTTACTTAAAATGAGGTGCAATAAAATAGAACTAAAACTCTGGGCACTCCTGATCTTTCAATGGTCTATAACAACAATGCATCATCACACATCAGCTTAACATACTTATCCTTCATCAGCTTAACAATTCATTCCCTCACACAACTTGTTATGGAACTGCTACATTTCCACCTTATCTTAATGAAGATGAGATTGCTAAGGAGATTCATGCGTTTTGAAGATGGATGACTGCCAAAATGACAGAACCATTAGGAAAAATGCATCATCTCGTGCGAAAATTAACTCTTTCTCTCTGGATCAATGCCCATCATCGATTTTAAATGAGGTTTAAAAACCTGTTTATTTCGGTTCTTTTCTTAGCTATTGGTTTTTAATTTATTTTAATCAAATCTAGAATGATTTCCCTTTGATAATCATCTTTGATAATCATCGGGATTTTCTTTATTTCAACGAGTTTTTACATAGAGCAAAGTGTTTGAAGCGGTTGTTTTGATTGTCCATTTAAATTTTGTTTACAAACATGAAATCTTGACCTGACCCATCTGGTGATCGATCAAAGAAAGGTTGAAAATATTACTCTGATGACGATTCAGACAGTGAGTTTATGATTTTGGATGCAGAGGCTGATTCTGATAAATCTTATAATTATAATCCTAGTACTAGTAATGAAATAATGAAATTGATAATTCATCAGCTGATGAACAACAAGCCCCACCCCCCAGCTAGAGTGCCTTCTAGAAGAGCTAATACTGTTCCCACTATAAAAAATGTAGATTCTAAAACTAAAAAGAAAGCTGCTGATCTTAGCACTTAAACTGAGTGCGATTTCAGATTTTTACCGGAGAGAAAGAGTTAATTTAAGAGACAATGGCAGCGTCTAAGGTTGAAATATCGTAAAATTTATTAGGTCAGTTCGGGAAATTTTGTATCCCACCTCAGATAAGACAAAAACAACCCAATGTGTTTTCAGGGGAAGAAGATATGATTTTTGGAAAAGAAAACTTCAAATAAGACAAGTCTGAATAAATGATAACATTTCTCAAAAATGTTATGAGTTACTTAATATATTTTGGTGAATTGGTCAATTCGTTGGAGAAATAAGCGGATGAAAAATTACCTCATAACTATTCAAAGTCCTGTAAAAATATTTTAAAAGCATAAGTAAAAAAACAATAATTTAAATTGACTCACAGATTCCCTCTCTCTATCCATTATGGCCTCAATCTCCTCAAAATGTCTGAGTTTGATCTCCAGCTTCTTCATCTGAGTCTCCACAAGTAGTGCTACGAGTCCCTTGATCTTACGCTCTTCTACTGCTGCTAGATGCTGAGGACATTCAAGTCATTCAGGTTAGATAACTGCTAACATATATTTAAAGTTCAGAACCAATCCCTTGATAGAAGCTGTCCAAAACCAGCTAACAATAACAACAAATTTAAGCCAAAGTATTAATGGAGTAAGTTGTGTATTTTATGAACATCATGTTCAATTTGTGAAAAATAATTCATCCAGTTCTGCATTTTTGATACCTCGCAAGGACTTATGGATACAGGACACAAACCTTTAATTCACATTCTATAAAAGTATTCAGTACCTTGGCTTTCACAGCTGCCGAGGCCAGCGCTGCAGCAGCGGCGGTGGATACAACTGTAGCATTGTCATCTGGGACTTCACTCAATTTGTCTTCTGTTACAGTTTGTTTCTCTGGAACTTCCTCAGTTGCTTCAGACTCCTTTACCTCAGTATCCTGAACCATGCAGTAATTAGAAAACATTGAGCAAATTGAAAATATTTTTCTAACATTTAAAATGAGTAATGAATTTTTATTATTTGAGCAAACTGAAAGCCAAAACAAAGAACTAACTAAAATTTACTTTAAGTCACATGGCTAGGAAACAGCAATTCAATTGGTATGACTTATTTCTCTGTCCTTACCTTGACCTTTTTATTTTCTTTCTTGTTCTTCCTTTTCTCCTTTTTTTCATCATTTTCATCTTTTTTTTTGTCTTTAGATTTCTGGTCCTTACTATCTGTAGCACTGACATCCATAGGCTCATCCTCCTGGAAATCAAATTATAAGAGATGTAATGTTAGGAAGATGCATCTTAATATATCATCAAACTACATTAATAGTTCCTCGAATACACATAAAATGGATATAGAAAGGCTATTGTCGTGTTTAAAAAATGACTATTAAATTGCCCTAGATTAAAATTATCTAATCAGAATGTTCTTTTATTGCGTTATTATATTATATTCTGAAAATGAATATGTACAATGACAAATATACATTAATTTGGATCAGAAAAGAATCGTATCTTATATTACTGTTTAAAAGACTTCACATAGTTTTTTTCAGAAGGAAATTAAAAATAAAGATAACTAAAAGAATTCATAAACACAACCAAGAAAAAACTTCCTCCTCACCTTTTTCTCAGTACTTTCCTTTTCTTCCTTATTTAAGTCCATTATCTCTTCAGTGATAATTTCTAAAAAATAAATGTCGTAGCACAGTTGACTTCTTATCTTTCATAATCTCCAATAAATAAAGTATATCAAAGTTCTCAGTTGATTAGACAAGACTAAGAATGACACTGATAAAACATAAATTCTTTTATGTAAGGGGATTCTTTTAGACTGTAAAAGTCTTTTCTACATCAATTAAGCTCAAGTTAATATAAATGATTTTTTTTATTACAAAGATTAGTTTTCAAGAACTGTTACTTTAATTATTATTCATGGTCTCAGATTTGTAGAGTAAGGCTAGGTATTTATCACATAGAATGAATTTCCACCCTTTTCTAAATGTAAATATCATATTAAATACTAAACAATACCTGTCCCAGCAATTCCACTCTTTTCAAGACCAAAAGTTGGTTCCACAATCTTCCCTTCTCTTGTAGCATTGATCACTACTCTAGTGTGAGATTCAACAATAGATGGCGGGATTTCATCTTTAATTTTAGAAAATTCCTCTGGAAATAAATAACACGGAAGATGTCATTAATCTGGAATCATAAAATTAAATTGAGAAAATTTCAACTATGCTTTTTATTTATTTGAAATACTAACCTAGAGCTGCTTTTGCTGCTGCACTAGCCACCCTTGGATCAACCACAGAGGCCAGAAAAGCCACAGTAGACATGATTGGGTTTCCACTTTTAGAAAATGGAATAGGTTGGTAGACAAGAGGGCCTAAAAAAACAAATTTTAAATAATGTTACCAGGCAAGAAATATTCTTAAAACATGTTTCTAACAAAAAATTTCTAAAAAACACATGAAATCAGACATGCAAATGTAACATAATATTAAATCGATTGTTTAAGAAAATGACTTACCTGGGTTGTCATTGACATCCAAAAATGGGTCTTCTATAGGGAGACGAAGAAAGTGTAAGATGCATTCATCTTGTGTCCTGCTGCCAACATGTTCACAAACCTTGTTCCAGTCATCCTTGTAGAGCTCCAGAGCTTCCAGCATGAGAAGAGTCTCCTGGTCATTCCACTCTCGGCTGCGTGATGAGGAATTCTTGTCCTAAAGTGAAACAAAAATATAATGGGTTAGAATTTGGGTTGCTATTAACAGAAATAACGTAACTCATAAACTATCCATTTTGAACACATCCCTGACTACCTTGTGTGACTTTTTAGTATATATGTCAGTCTTTAGTCCCAAAGCACCCAAATCTTTTTTCTCCTCGCCTTCCTGGTCTGATTTCTTCGCTGAGCCAAAATCACAGATTTCTTGTGCTGCTGATGGCTGAAATGGTAATTTTAAAACTTATTAAATTCTTAAACTAATTTTTTTTAAATTTATTGAAGTAATTTTATTTTTAAATGCAGGTAAAATAAAACAATTATATTATATTGCAAATTATGTATCCATTAATTCTATCACCGCAGTTTTTTTTTTTAAAGCAATGGCGAGATTTTAAAAAAAAACATCAAGACATTCAACAAAAGAATTCTAGGGTTAAAATAAACAAACTAAATAAACCAAAATGCTTATTTTTGCTATTATTTGAAATGTTGTTGATCAAATTACCTGATTGATCTTAGGTGGATTGATAGAAGCAATGCCAGAAGGTGTGTCAGCTAAGATATGGAAGTGGGAGGTAGTAGGTGGGCCCATAGGGGTGGGATGGCTATCTGGATCCACCTGGTAGTTGAGAAGTCCCCACTGCTCCAGAAAGGCATGAACTCTGATGTGAAATTGTTAAAAATACACATCATGTTACTCTGGAACTCCCAAAATAGTAAAATATGGTCTCAGAGTAGTACTATACCATCTCAGAATAGTACAATATTGTCTCAGAGTAGTATTATACCATCTCAAAATGGTACAATACCTTATGATAGTAGTAACTAAATATACAGTACATTGTATAAATAACTACTTCCATCCAGCAGTGTAGCCAGGTTTTGACACTAGGAGAAACAGAAAAATATGAAATGGGCCCACTGCCCCCCCCCCCCCCCCCCCCAATGCTGTCTGCCTGCTACCCCTTTCATTAATAAATATTAAAATATTTATATATATATATATATATATATATTAATATATATAGTGCTTTTTAAATAAGAGGGAGTTTGGGCTTACTTTAATCAGAGCGATTTGTGGGGAAGGGAGGGGGAATTTAGGGAGCCCATTTTTCAAATCTAACCAAAAAACAAAGACTACATTTTTTTTTAAAGTGCTTTGTTATATCATATAAAAACAATGATTAACACAAGACTTCCACACATATAATTAAGAAGACATTTCAAGGCAAGGCGAGTGAATATTTATTCATTTGAATACTTGGCGCAAATAAAAAGTGATCTTGAGTTGTTACATTTGTAAATGGAAAAGAATTTTTACAGCCTTTTATTTTTACTTCAACATAGGGTTGTGTCAATCACTCCTCTGCCACTTTTATTTTGATATTGACGTCACCAGTTAAATGTGTAGCACAATGCCTAATCGCACCCCTCCTTTGATTGGGAAAAGTTTTGTTTACGCTCTATTGTTCTAAAGCAGGGGTCTCCAAACTACAGCCCGCAAGGCCCTTTCATCCAACCCGTTGAGACCTTTTTGTCTACGGAAAAAAATTACAGACGAGTTGCAGAAATTGTGAGTCAAATAGTGAAAAATGAAAGCAAGTTTAACCAATTTGTAATTGCAATGGATGAATCGCTGGACAGCTTTTCCACCTCTCAACTGCTTGTGTTTGTTAGGGGGGGTGTGGATGATGGCATGAACATAACACAAGAGGTAGCTTCCCAAATAGCATGTACGGAACTGTTGAGTTGAAAAAATATTTGCTGATTATAACTTGGACCCGACTAACCTCAGTTGCATGACTGTTTACGGAGGTAATAACATGAGTGGCTTAAAGAAAGACTTGATTGGACAAGTGAAATGAGAAAAAAATTCTGCAACCAATGTTCTTGCACTGTATTTTTCACCAGAAAACTTTGTGTGCTAAATATGTGGACAATAGCAGTGTACTGAATCTTGTGGTGAAGAGGGTTAATTTAATAAGGTCACATGGGCTCAACCATAGACAGTTCAGAGACCTGTTAAAAGATACAGACACAGAATCGCAAATTTTACCATATTACACCGCAAAAAGATGGCTAAGTTGTGAGAAAGTTCTGAGCAGAGTATTTAAGTTAAGAAAGGAAATAGGTGACTTCCTAGAAAGTAAAGGCAAGCCACAGCCATTAGTGTCTGATGAGAGTGGGTATGGAAATTAGCCTTTGCTGCAGACATTACTAGTCATTTAAATTGTCTGAAACTAAAAGTACAAGGAGAGGAAAATCTAGTTTCTGATCTATGCACCCATCTAAAGGCCTTCAATCCAAACTTGTCTTGTGATATCATAGTCGTTTACTGAGGAATTGAGCTTAGAAATACTAAGCTACTAACTTTAGTTGTTACATTCTCACTCTAAGTTGGCTATTGCCTTCTACTCAAGGTTTATGATTAATTTATTTACCCATATTTACCCAGCAACACCTTGCCTCATTTCAACCAGCTAACTTTAGTTGAGAGGCAAAGAGCATTAGCATTGCACTAAAGGGCAGACAGCATATATCAATAATTGACTAAAAATCAAAATGTATACCGCAGTAAACAGCAGACATCACCAGCCAAATTTCTCCTGACAGCTGTTGAGGTTAGGTACTCTGTCGGATTCAGCCGATAAGTGTCTATCATAAAATTCCGATATGCCAGATATCTGGGGACATAGAAAATATGAGGAATGGCTTGCACAATAGTTGGAATAAATTAATGTTTGTTTAGTTCCTAACTAATCTACAATGCTTTTTACTTAACTAACCATACTTTTATTCTGACAATAAAAATAAATGCTCTAAACTATGATTAAACCAATGTAAAATTATGAGTTAGTTAACTGGTTAACCCTTTCATTACCGCTGGTTTTGCCTTAGATTTTTGCGGACTCAGCAATTTAAAAACGTACAGATAAAACTTCCCGTATTATTTCATTCTCTATCCAATTCACTTATTAACTTCTCTATAGATTAACGAATAAAGAAATATATAGCATTGGAATATGACGACAACATGACGTCCTTGGTAATTGAAAGTGGATGATTGTGAAGTCGCGTCGACTTCATCTGTAACGAAAAGGTTACGCCAATGTGAAGATGAGTTAGTTGCATATTTAATGTTGCTATGACTAAGTTGATGGTTTGTTACATCTTCTATTGTGTAGCACAAGCTCATGAAGGGATATTTTTGTCACCTTCAATTGATAATTATCAGCCTACACAGAACACTTACATTTCTGGTGTTTTAGATTTATTTTTCCCATTAAAGAATTCTGGTAAAGCTCTCCTCTCAATGGCATGTACAGAGTTGTAATCAAACCAGGCAGAGTAACTCGGGACAATGATGTGATGGGTTTGTTCTGTCAAAGTATCATCCCCTGCCTCATGTGACAATCTTTTCTCTTCCTCTTCTTTGGCAGCAGCTTCAGTATTTTCTGGTTTGTCTGGTTCCTCCTGGAAAACAAAATTAGAATTAGCAAATTTAATTAATAGCTCAAGCAAAAGATGCATATATTTACAGTTTTATATCTTTGATGCAGAGGCAATCTTGGAAATCCATGGTTTTTCCTATGGCAAGGGAATGGGCTTCTAGTTAACACTAAAAAGAATTAAAGAGAAAAAGTGGTAAAGTCTTACTTTTGAATCTTAAATTCAAAGTCTGGAAAATGGAACACTTACAATGTAACGAATCCAAATATTAACATACCTTCTCTGCTTGTTTTTCATCTAAATCCATGATGGTACCACCTTTTAAGGGAGTAAATTCATCTTTGGTTCCTTTAATTACCACTCCTACATGAACATAAGGTGTAACAATTAGACACATTTTTATTAGTACATGTGGCATTATTGCACTTTAAATTAAACAAACTGCTGACCCCCCCCCCCCCCCTAAAAAGGCTCAAATTATCTCTGTAAACTTTTTTAAATAGTTTCTAAAAAAACAAAGCATGATTGTTAAAAATCTGAGGAGTTATTATTTTTTCTTATTGATTTTCTGAAATGATTACCTGGCTTAGGATTATGTACTTCTTGAAGACTATTCTCAGACTGGATGTCGTCCATGTCCTTTGTGCTATCTTCATCATCTTCCTCCCACTTTTTTTTCTTGCTGGCAACAATTGCTGCAGCCCTGGAGCTATAAATAATTTTTATATTGCAAATTAAACCAAATGAAAGTTATGTAAGCCATTTAAAATGGGTAACTGTAAAATGTTTTAAAATGTCATCAAAATTCTAAACATGCCATTTACAAAAAACACAAATAATTTATGAAATGTACCAATTTGACCTTTTTATAACGAAACAAAACAAAAACCTGTATAAGCCAACACTTTATCCTTTTCTTTTAACATTAAATCAGTTCCAAAATACAAACCTTTTTCTCTTTTTTTCTGGAGGAGGAGAGGGAGATCGTCTGCTTTTAGGATTGGAAGCTTTATTTTTGCTACTACTGGCTTTTTTGGAACGACCGCCTTTGTCAGAATCACTAACATCACGCATCTAAAATATATCATTAATATGGCACAAATTTAAAGAAATTATGGTAAAAGTCAAACAAAAAAGTCATTGTTTATAATCTGAAGCATAATTTAATTACAAATTCTGTGGTCCATAATTGCCTGAACTGCATCTTCTAAGTGTACAATGCTGTGACTTTTGACAAATTAACTAGTAATGTTGGATTGTTTCCAGTGCTTTGTTAGGAGCGCATAGGCAGTTGATTTTTATCCCACGTCCGGCCCCGCCAAGTTGACTACTCGAGGTGTCCTCCGCACATTGCAGGATTAGGTGCATTGTTTGACTGACAACTCCACCCCTCCCCTCAATTTGTTTGCTGGAGTTTTCCTTTTTTACACAGCTTTCTTCCGTAGACAATATAGCTATTTGTATACTTGTAACTAAAATAATGGGTAGAGTCTCAGTTACATTGGAACATGTAACTTTTAGTTTTGGAGTCAGAGCCTCTTAAGTTGTACCAACAGGCATCACATTATTTCAATTTGAAAGCTGTTTATGATAATATGAGGAGGACTGCCTTTAGGCTGAGACAATAAAATCTATTAATGTTGACTCGTGAATGTTTTACTTTGAATAAGTGTTACTTGTCAGACAATTAATACTATAAGAGTATCCCTTTATCCAAAAAAAAACCTGCTTTTAGAAATCCAAGCTCAATATGCCCAGGTCATTTTTAATTGACTGTCTTTAAGCTGCAAATTGGGTCTACATGAACATACTCCATGACACTCTGAGTGGTGGGACTAGTCAATCTTGGATGATGGTTCATAATCTAAGGCAAGGGTTACGCTAAAAAACCTCTGCTGCCTTGTGGGTACAAACCAATTGTAAGGACTAAGGGAAACAACCCCAACATAAACTTCCAGAGATGAAGTCCCATAGGTGGTATGACATCAATGAATTTTTGGGCAACTCTTGCGACAGCTTGGTGAAAAAGCTGCATCATTCACATAATGTACTTCCGGGGCGTTGCTCTGCAGGCGACTTGATTGCATTTGTACATCTATATCAGCGTTTTTACACCTTTTATTTAATTGCGTATCACTCAAGTAAAAATGGAGGTGATGCGGATGATTTTTTTGTGAGCTTTGTGTTTTTCTCTTTGCGTGACACAGCTTTAATATCGACTTTGGATATCAAATCACACAGACTAGCATAGAAATGTCACTTCCACCATTTTTGTAAACTTCCTCCATGCCAACAACAAATAGAAACCGATTTCAGGACTGAGAGGAAGAAAGCGGGGCAGAAGGGGAGGCATTCGTGTGAAATGCAGAAACAGAGGCTTTCTTCCACCTGTTGTTTTGGGAAACGTTGGATCACTATGTAACAAGGTGGATGAACTGGATTGTTGCTGTAAGCATTTCTAACATTTTTGCAAAAGCTGTTTCTCTTTAATATGTGTGACTGAAACAAAAAGGTACCAGATTCGGCAGTGGCACTGGACGAATTTAACATTTTCCGTGCCGATAGAACAACCAGCAGCGGCAATTCCAAGGGAGAGGAATAGGCAATATATGTTAACAAATCTACTGTAGCATCATCAACAGTACAGTGAAACATGTAGCTTGTACACCCGCCATAGAACTACTCTGCATCACTTAATGGCCATTTTACCTACCTAGGGAGTTCACCCAAATATGTATCATCCTCACTTACATTCTACCTAATGCTAACAAGCTGCAGGCTATTGAGAAACTTTTGGATGTAATCCATGAAAACTAAGCCTCCGAAAGTCTGGCATTCAGCGTGCTCCCACTGAAGTCACAAATCTTAATGAGAACTAATATGTCCCTGATATGGCTAAGAGAATTCACTGAATGGCTGTTTTTTTTCTTCTCACTAGTGAAATAATTTAATGTGGATGTCTCGTGTTTAAATTGTTTTACTAATGTGCTGAACATGCACAATGCAATCAAAAAGCATTTCCATTTGATTGAATCAATAAAACAATTTTATCTTATCTTATAATGTTTGTTTGGGTTCACCAGCTCCTTGACACTTCATAGATATATGATATCATACAGGGCATAGTTACAAAAAATATTAATAATGTGGGTTACCAGGTGTCCGGTTCTAAGACTTAACAGCAGATTGAGCAAAAAAGGGATAAAGCATGCTTGATTGGGTCAGAAATTTCCTGCCATAAGCATTTACTCCATGCCGATGACTTGCTATGGCTATAATTTAGATTGTGGTGTTGTCTTCAACAGTTGCAGTACAGCTGGTGATGTCGTCCACAGTATTTAGGTCATAGAAGTTCCTCAGGTGAACTACCAACCATAGTTCCATAATCAAAATATTTCAATTTTCTATTATTTGCCAGACTTGCTATGGCTATAATTTAGAGTGTGGGGTTGTCTTCAACAGTTGCAGGACAGCTGGTTATGTCGTCCACAGTATTTAGGTCATAGAAGTTCCCCAGGTGAACTACCAACCAAAGTTCCATAATCAAAATATTTCAATTTTCTATTATTTGCCAGGGGGGGGGGGAATCTCCTCTTCCCAGCAATGCCAAAATGTAGGCCTATCATGACGACACTGCATAAGTGGGAGACAACTCATGTCAAAACCCATGCCATAAACTTAAAATTTACCCATGATATTTTAGCATATCATATATCAAGTCTCGGGAGGCTGATTTTGGGTTAGAGGTAAGGGTGACAATGTGTTCCATAGTATACAGGTCACAGAGGTTCTCCCAGGTAAACTTACTTCTATAGGGCCATATTCAAAATTTTGTATTCTTATGTTTGTGTTCACTTAATGCAAGTTTTGTTCTTCATATTTTCTAGTTTTGAAAGAAGATTACTTTGCTTCTTACCTTGGCATTAAAAGTTGGAGGAAAATTATAGTGAAATTACCTGTGAAATTATAGAAATCTTTAGGCACTTTAGTATAAAAAAATATTTTAAATATTCAACTTTTGAACATGACTATTTAATTAATTAAAGCTTTCCCTGACCAATTTTTTAATAGTGTTTGTACACTGCAAACTCTTATGAATGAAACTCTTGAGTTTTGCAACAGAAAATTAGATCTATGAATTGATAATATTGACTCTACTTGGTTTTTTAAACATCAAATGAAAATATTCCGGTTCAAAAGACTTCTAAATTTATTCTGAAACACAAGTTATCAAATATTTCCTAAGCTATTGCACAGACACCCATTTCCAATACAATTTAAGAAGTAGTCTTCCTTTTGTTATTGAACTTTTAAAGTACAGGCACTTCGATTATCAAATAATAAAAAAATAGCACGTTTAGCGCACATCTTTTTTTTTTATTCACTGGTGTTGGGTATTGGGGTATCGGCAAGGATGTACTCTTTTTTTCATTTATTTTGAAACATGTAGTAAGATGAATTTTAATACAAATTTAATGCATGGACAATTTCATTATAACATTATTAATATAACTCGTATTAACCATATTGATAGATTTAGTTTATGAGATGATTGTGGGGATTCCCCAAAGTACAGTTTATTGTAGTTAAACTTAAGAAGTCAGTTTACAAACGTATAGTCCATTGAATTATCCTTCATTTGATACCAAATTTTGTCTTAAAAACCCTACAGCCTACAATAATTTTTAAATTATCTTTTTATAAACCCAAACTTCTGGGATCCAGGTCAGAATAGCCGCAGCCTAAGAAAATAAAAATAAATATTTCGTTACTTCGCGGGCCGCAAAGTGTGTGCTGGCGGGCCGTATGTTGTGCATGACTGCTTTATAGACTTCATACTTCAAGCCGGGTCAGGAATAATCACTGGACTCTGACTCTTAGTAGTGTAATCAAATGCTATTAAACATTAATAAAAAGCTTCATGAAATGAACTTATAAATAGTAATACTAACCTTTTTAGAACTCTTAGAGTTACTATTTCCTACGGGACTAATCTGAGGGGTTGTTTCCTGTGAATGAGAATCAAATAATTTTCCATCATGACTCCCGTCTTTCTTTCTTTGTAACGCCATTTTATGAGCAGATTGGTATCATTGGTTGGTTGGGTCGGGAACATCACATCTTACCTCCAACTGACGAGAGCAGTTAAAAGTCGAATCATAATTATGTATCACAAAACAATCCTTGTCTCCCACAAAAAAAAAAAAAAAAAAAAAAAAAAAAAAAAAAGAAATTAAAAAAAAAAAAAAACAATCCTTGTATCCCAAAAAAAAAAAAAAAAAAAAAAAAAGGCTAAAATGTTTATTTTAAAAAAATTGTGCTTGGGCCTCAATCGTGTTATATAGCCATAGCTATAGGTAACTGTACCAAGAGTTTATTTTTTTTAATAACATGAAACATATGTTCTTCGCACAGTATTTGAATTTTAACAAATAAATCGCTAAAGAGAATTAATCTTTAAGTCCGCCGTGCCCTTTTGGTCGCGTCTACTTATATAGTATAGTCTATTGAAATTTTTAGACAGAGAAGAGACACTGTTGATCTTTATTAAAGAACTAGAGCGAAGGAGAATTGGATTCTTCGACAATTCGCATAAATGACTACTCCACATTTTTAATTTATGCTCAGTTCACACGGTCAAATTTGCGTCGAATTTCTTTTGTGTTCAAAAAGAAATTTGACGAAAATTGGACGAGAATTTGGACGAAAATTTATTTTTGAACGCATTATTTGTTTTAATACATAGTACAGTGCGTTCAAATAGATATTTGACGAAAATTTTAACGTGTGAACTGGAAATAAGATTCGACCAAATTTCTGTTCGGTCAACTTTCCATCGATCAATTTTCCGTCGACTAAATTTCTTTCAAACAAATTTCCGGTAACCAAATATTACACTAAGGCCAGAAAATGCATTTCCATGGCGTTGCACATTGTGGGCACAGTTACACACATACCTTACAACCAGTGTTTCTGTCAGAAATTTTCCCCCAGGGGGAACTTCAGATTGGGGGGGGGGGGGGGGGGGGGGCAGTGTCAGTGTCCAGAGGCGTAGCTAAGGCAGATGGGACATACGTCCCGGGGCGCTGTCAAGGGTATGAGAATCACTGTTGTTATGTGTAGACTAGCGGGAGGGGAGCAAAAACGGGCTTAGATGGTATTAATTGGTTGAAAATAATGTTTTTTAGAGTTGAAAGGGGGTGGGGCGTAAATATGAATCTTGTCCCCTGACGCCAAACACTGTAGATACAACCCTACTAGTGGGATCGAAATTGGGCGGATTATTTGGCTGCCTATGGCGTCACTAATAGTAGCTTCGCCACTTGGCAGTGTATCTATCGATACCAAAATGGGCGATCATTTTCATCGTGACGTAGGGCTGAAATCGAGGGCGCATCTGAATCGAGATCAGTGGAGGGGTTTGGGGTACCTGCTCCCCAGAAAAAATATAACTAAAAATAGTTATGTTGCTTTAATATTTAATTGACCTTATTTTTAGGGATAGCTACAGAGTTAATAAATGAAATGAAATTTCAAAAAGTATAATTCAATTAAAAACGGTTCCATCGATAAAATGACTACAAACATTATTTTGTATGCTGAACGCAAATTGAAATAAGACAACTTACTTATAATAATAATGTTTAGACTACCCTATCTAAATATTTCCTACTTTTATGGGAGTAGAAAAAAAAAAAACAACCAACAGGTTTAATAGAAAGGTCTGCACATTTTTATGGGTTTTGAAAACTGGTCATTTTTATAAATTGTAAATGAATGGTTTATTATTTTAAGAAGACAAAAGACTCATGCGTTATTGCAAATTTCTTTCGCATTTTAAATGCATCTTCACGAAATGATTACAATACATATTTTAATATAAACATGTTGCTATTCTGTACTCATAAGTATGTGACCAAACCATATCCTCTACCCTGAAATGTTAAGTACGATGTCCTTAGTGTCAAAGAAAATCTTATATGTTCCCCTTTACAAGTTCATTCAATTGTAAGCAGGGCTTCTTTCAGCTTTATCTCAGAGGGGGGGGGGGGCAATACCCCGGGGAAAGTCAAAAGCGCCCCCCCCCCCAAGCAAAAATACTTATAACAATCCAAACAAAATATATATTATTAAAAACAACCAAATTGTAATTTTTTAAACAATTTTAAAAAAAAAATCTTTTATTTTCCCCTTTACAAGTTCATTCAATTGTAAGCAGGGCTTTTTTCAGCTTTATCCCAGAGGGGGGGGGGGGCAATACCCCGGGGAAAGTCAAAAGCGCCCCCCCCCCCAAGCAAAAATACTTATAACAATCCAAACAAAATATATATTATTAAAAACTACCAAATTGTGATTTTTTAAACAATTTTAATAATAATAATTGCTGCTGTCATTAAACGATTACAATTAGTATAATCTACGAAATATCGCTATGCTCGATATATTTGATTATCCGTATATTTAAGGCCAATCTTCTTAGAGCCTTACATTATTCGATTATAAATATCTCAATGCTTGGAAAATTTGCCGATTATGATACGAAGTATTATTTCCCATTCGCTTTTATCTGTATTTGCTATTTAATTATTTTTTGAAAAATCACAAGTTTAAAGACTTTATTAACACTGTATTAAACTACATTTGTTTCACTTTTAAGGTCAATCATTTTTATAGAGTTCTCACTAAGTATCAAACGTGAGCGATCTTTTCATGTTTTCAAATTATATTTATTAAAAAAAAAGCATTTACTTAGTAGGGAATGGTGTTAATTAAAAAGTGAATGCTGCCCCCCCCCCCCCAACCCCCCAAAACAAAAACAAATGTTTACAACAAAAAAAAAAA